ACCTATTTGCCTTCTACATAGTCTGTGTGGTAGATTCCAATAGTCCTCCTTTCTTACTGCCCTAAACTCTTGATCTTGTTGTCTGGCCAGAGGTACATGGGTATGGAGATTTAGGGAGGGTCTCAGGATGATGCCAGTACTGTGTGACCCTGATACTTTCCATGTACAAATTATTTCTTCCTTAGAATATAGTCATTGGGAAAAGCAGGTCACAGAGCAACATAGATAGAATGATCCTGCCCTTATATAAAACAAACAAATAAAAATGTACACATAGGCCATTTCCCCAAATATTTTCAGTAATTATCCCTGGGAAATAAACAATGGGTAAGGGATAAATGGGTAATGGGTTAATTTTGTCTCTTTCAGTTTGTCTATATTCCTTATATCTTCATCCAATGATATGGATTTATGAAATATGTTTATGAAATAAAAAAGGAAAAATAGAATGTCCTCTCTATAAAAAAATTACATCCATTTTTAATTATTATTTTAGTTTTTAACTCATGGTTAAAATATTTAAAATATAGAACCTAATGAAAGGATTTGGTGTCTTACCTTTCAGCAAATGACAGTAGGCCATGAATGTAAAGACACTAACTATCCTCATCTTTCTGGAATGACCTAATTATGGAAAACACAAAAAGAAAACTGCTTTACTCAATAATTGAATACCCAGACATTATGGGACTTGGCAGTTCTGACTGAAATAGTCTTCTGATAACCAGACAATGACTGATTTGTAAGTGTCGAAATGCAGCAGGGAATTTAGAAGTTCAATACTTTCACTTAAAATCCCAGAGCCATATAAAGGCAAATGAAAAAAAGCTATTATGATGAGAATTTTTAAATTTAATTACAAGCCCTGAAAAAAACTTACAGCCTATGCTCAAAAGAAGCCAAGAAGAAAATATTGCACCAAAATCCTCTCAACTATTTCATGTCTTTTCTGCAGTGTAACATATCTAGAAATCTAAACCTGCCCTATGCAAAATTTCGAAGCAAGGAGAATATGACTTCCACATCCCCCACTTCTCAATGCTTCCTTTTTCCCCTAGCAGCTGAATACTTTCATCCTGTCCTTTAACTATTCAAGCCTTCCACATCACTACCCTAACCATGCCAATTCTCCCCCAGCTGCCATTCTTCAAAAATCTACTCTCTGTCCTTCACTTATTCCAAATTATAAATCCTATTCCCTCAATAAACTGATTCCATTAACAGCAGGGGGAGTGAGAAGGAGAAACAATTGGATTTGAACAATTCATACTAAGATGTGAATGACTCACAGCCACTCTTTCAGGGTGATCTGCCTAGATTCTATTCTTCATTTTGTCATCCTGCTTGAAATTCTACCAATTCTTTATCCAGCAAACATCGATTGAGATCTACTCTGTGCCAGGCACTATTTTAGGCACTGGGGATACAGCAGTGAACTGGAAAGAAAACTCATTCTACTCTTGGAGCTTATATTCAAGTAGAGGAGTAAATAAAGAAGATTTGTACTGTTATTTCAGCCAATCTGTTTATTTAATAACATTTTCTCTCTTGTGTTATGTGTACATTTATACACTTTGAGAATAAAGTCAGTTTTCTCTCGGGGTCTTTTTGGGTCTTTGGGTCTTAGGGTCTCTTTGACCTCTGTATAAATAGAAAAACTCACAATTGATCAATTAATCAACACTATACCTATATAAGGCAGAAGATTAATGCTCCTAATATATAAATAGCTCCTAAAAATCAATAAGGAAACTACACACAATCCAACGGGTAAATGAATAAAAGGTTCTAACATACAGTTCAGAGAATAAGAAACACAAATGACTTCTAAATATAGGAAAGGATGCTCAATCTCACCAATAAAAAAAAGTATAAATTTAAGACATGAGATACCATTTTTCACTTATTAGCTTGATCAAAATTATAAAGATTCCAAATATTTACTGTTTTTGAGGATACGAACAAATGGGTTTTCTCACCTGCTAATGATAGGGATGTGAAGTTGTATAACCTTTTTGGAGGGCAATTTGGTAATCTCTATTAAAAATTTAAATATATATGTCATATGCATTTTCACTTCCTCTCCTAGAAGTATATCTTACAAAAACAAAAACACACACATATGACAATATATATAAAGGGATGTCATTGCTATTACTAGCCCCAAACTGGGAATACCCTAGATAGCTGAAGTGGTTAAATAAATTTTGGTAGACAAAATTAAGTACATGTAGATATAGTGATTTTGCAAAGATGCAGAAAGTTAGCTGCAGAAATCCACTTTTGTTAAAAAAAAAAAAAAAAGAAAAATCTGTGTGTCTGTATGCGTATGTGTGTGTTTAAACATAGGAAATGTCCAGAAAAATCCATACTAAGGTGCTGACAGTGATTATCTCTCCAGGTAAAATTAGAGGGAGGATAGGCAGGTATTCATGGTTTCTAAAAGGAAGAGAGGATGAGAGAAAAGAAAGAAAAGAAAAAAAAAGGGAGATGAGATTGTGAATGATTTCTTTGGTGTTTTTCTGTGTCCAAATTTTCAAATGAATGAATGTCTCACTTTTATTATTGGAAAAAAATAAAAACAAAATTTAATGAACCATTTCACCTTGCCAAGCTGCAGAGTGTTTGGCAGATAGAGTAGCATAATGGAAAGAACCCCAGAACCCCTGAGTTGAGGTAGAATAATGACATTTGCTTATTCTTATGTTTTCCATCATTAGTAGAGTGATATAACCACATCACAGAAAATGAGAAAAGAAGGGGAAAATCACCTACTATTCTATCACTTTAATCTAGGTAATGCCTGGAAACATTTTTGGTTGTCAAAACGGGGTGAGGGGGAGGGTTGTAAAGGTTGTAAAGCCCAGAGAAGCTACTAAACATCCTGTGATGGACAGGAAAACCCCATAGCAAAGGCATATCTGGCTAAAATGTCAATAGTGCCAAGGTTGAGAAACCTTGCAACCACTGTGAGCATTTTAGTCTATATTTTTCTTCCAGTCTTTTCCCTTATGAATCTTTTAAAAAGTAATTATAACCTTATCATATATTTAACACCCATTTTTTTATTTAATATTATGACATAAATATTTTCCATTTTACTGTATGATATTCATAACTATCTTATTTAGTGGTCCCATCATGTTTAATTTCTCTATTGTTACGTATAAGATTGTTTCCAATTTTAAAAATATCAGAAGTATTTGTGTATTCCGCAAATATTTGTTAAGTGTGCACTGTGTGCCAGGCCCCAAGCTAGGCCCTAAGGATAGATTTCTCCAAGTGGAATTATTTTTCAAGGAGAAAGAACAGTTTTCTGATTCTCGATACATGTGGATAATCGGTACCAGTTACATTGTTTCTTCACCCAGCACTGGGTGTTGTTTTAAAAATATATTTTTTTTCTGGTTTGATTATTGAAAGCTACAACTTGAATTTCTCATGAATTTGTTGATTGTTTTAGTTCTTTTGTGATTTATCTGATTAATTTTTGGTCTATTTATCTTACTGGTTTCTTATCAACCTGTATGAATCCTTCACGTTCATATACATATACGAAAAGGGTAAAATAAAACAAATCGTCCTCCTCTTGCTAGTGTGAGGTGCATAATTCTTATTTCTCTCCTTACTGTCTGCCCTGTAGATAGGGATAGGGATGGCATTCAGGCCTGTGAGAACACAAAGGTTGTGGAAATGAGGTGCTGCAGCAGCTATCTGGCTGTCCTTTCCATGGGCCAAAGTTGATTAAACCACAATTATAAAATACTAATGTGATATTATAAACACAAATACACATATTGGGCAGAAAAAAAACTTAAGATACCCCTAACTCCAAGCAAAGAACTAATGAATAAACCAGAGGAACATTAAATCCACTCATGGATTACAACTAATTTTGCCAATGTTTATGGAACATTCTGGTGGAGTTTCTATCCTTTAATGAATTTGGTTGAAAATTTTAAGGGTAACAAAGGTTTAGTGGAAGGTGATGGATTAGATCTGATATTTACCTAATTCCTTATAATACCTGCTTTTCCAAGGCTCCATTCCCTTGGACTGTAAATGTCACCAGTGGAAGAACAAAAGGGGGAAGACAGAGACCATGTGCATAACATGGTCTTTGACCTCTAAACCCCACATCAGGGCAATTGGTCTAAGAGAAGAACAACAGCATCTTCTTCAGGTAAGAAACTCTGACAGTGTATCTGAATTTCCAGAAAGAACTGGGACATTCAAAGAGCAAGGAGATGTGACCTAGGGAAGAAGTGATGGTTCGCTCAGGATGGGGAAGCAGGTTTGTCCCTGGGGGAACCCAGTATAATACTGTGAAACTGATACTACTTCTCTATCTCCCAAGGGTAGGACGAAGAGACAGGGAAAAGAATTTAAGCTTTGTTTCTCAAAAGTAGGAGCAAGGAGTGTCTTGATTTCTGTTGGTTTAGGGTTTCCTTTGATTTTCACCTGATGTATATGAACTATGATTTGATTTTCAAAAAAAAAATTCCTAGAGTTTGACAGCGTGTCTCCAAGTAAGCTGAAAACCCACCCCATTAATAGATCAAGAAAGTTGATCTATTGAACCTCTACTAAACTAGCAAACTCTATTAAACTCTACTAAACCCTGTGCCCAACTCCTTCCCTTCAGTCACCCTGAGACATGCTTGTACATCTCCCAGGTGTGGCTTCAATTCCCCACAGTACTTCTATGACTTCCTTTAAGACCACACTCTAACTGTTGTCCTGTAACCTCTGCCTATCCTCTTCCACGGAAAAAGGCTAATTTTTTCTTCAGAGTATTATAGTCCTTCTTAAAAACTGCTGGCAATTGTCAGTGTGAAATGGCACAACCTGTCTGGAAGGCAGTTTTCAATTTACATCAAAATGCCTTTAAAATATTCAGACTCTTTGACTAAGTAGTTACACTTACAGAGTTTATTTGAAGGAAATAATTAGCAATGACCCAGAGAGTTCTGTGCAATGATGTTCAGTGAATGGCTAAGATAGTAAACCACTACAAATAACCTTTTTGCTCAACATGGGGGTTAATTTTGCTTGGTTATTCAGCACAATGGAATACAGCTATTAAAAAAAATCACATTTTAGAAGGCTATTTAATCCATAGAAAATCATCCACACTATGTTATTTTTAGGTGCAAAAAGCAAGGTGGCGCAATGGTAGTTAAAGTAGCTCCTGTGTTATAAGGCAAACCTAAACTGAACTTTGACATAAGCCAAGGTCAATGCGTCTAAGAAATGTTCTAACATTTTTTCCTCAGGCTCCTCTCCTCCTCCTTCAGGACTCCTATAGGTCCTCAGGGCAGACAGAGTCAAGAACTCAGGTTCTGGTATCCTGGATCTTACAGCAGGAAGGGACCGTAGGAGATGCTGCAGGTGTGAGAACTCACCCAGAACACACCGCTAGTGAGCTGCTGGGGGTGGACTAGGACCAAGGTGTCCTGACCTCCAGCCTAAGAATTTCCCTCTACCCTCGGCTACCTACCTCAGAACCATATTCATGAACGTGCAGAAACATATACAAACATATACTTACAAGAGTCACATTAAGCAAAACTGAATCCCACCTGGCGAAACACCAAACATGTTATCTGTTCTTATTAATCCTGATAGGTAATCGGCTCCACTGCCCCCAAACCATTGCACTTCCCCTTTCCCTTCTCCTCTCTCCATCCCAAAGAAAGGGTCTATGGACCGTCCATCTTTAAAGCTGCGAGAGAGATGGCCAGAGATTGCGGCCACCGGGCGACTCACGGGCGAAGAAAGCTCCCTACCTGCGGGCGGGGAGTCTCGAGGCGAGCGCGGAGACTCAGCAGGCGGCCCCCAGCTGCGAAGACAGGCCGCTGCGCATCCGCGCGCTATTGAGCCGGGGCGGGGTTTTGGGGGGGCGGGTAGGGTGGAGCGGGAGAGAGGTCCCCGCCCATCTCTGAGAACAGATTGCCTGGGTCAGCCGGCTCGGAAATTGGACTCTTTCTCTGCAGCTCTTTTAATCTGAGAAATAAGCGGATCTTACATTCTTGGAATAAAAGTACATATAAATGAAACCAAAAGGGAAACTTACCATCCGGTTTCCCGTAAATCAGCTTTTTAAAAGAAATTCTTCAAGATTCAACCAAATCAACATCTGATGTTTTTAAAAAGGTTTAAAACAAACCAACGTCCGAAATCATCACAACGATTTAGGACGTTAGTTTTACCTTCAGAATTTAGACTTCTTAAATTCTGCCATCAGGTTTCCCCTCTTTCTGATAAAAGCTTTTACAAGATGACGGAATATCGTGACATAACTTGATGTAATTCTACAACATATAGAAAGTAAAATGACAGGCCCATATGGCTTTGGTTTTTATTCTAGAAAGTAGGTGTGTGTGTGTGTAATAGGAAATATATTTTTAAAACGTGGATTTTGTGACTTCCTCAAAGTTCCTCGACATAATGAAACTTCAGTTGCTTCGTCATTGAAAGAACTTCCCATCATGAGTTACAACTTTTAAGAATGCTGTGGATCCCTGCTCTCTATCTTGCCATCCTTGAGATTTGGGTTGGCGTAGCACATTCTTGGTGAGGGTTAAGAAAACCCTTCTGGTAACTCCAGATCAGTGGATGAGCCCACGCTGAAACCTCGTGACTCACAGAGGGTAGGGGCATAATTTACTTAACCATTCCCACAACTGGACTTCTAGGTGCTTCTCTCTCTCTTTCCTCTCTTCCTTCCTTCCCTCCCTCCCTCCCTCCTTCCTTCCCTCCTTGTTTACTTCTTCCTTCCTTCTTTGTTTGTAATTTTAAATTGATAAAGTGAACTCTTTCTCGTTAGCCTTTCTTACTTATTCATTTCAACCGCAATTCAAAATACTGCATAATGAGTGAATATTGAGATGTGCATTGGCTTGGTTAAGGAATTTGCTTCTCAAGTAAGAATTTTCACATTCTCAGAGTATCACATTTTTTAAAATTAATTAATTAATTAATTTGCTGGGAAAGATTTGCCATCTTTTGCCATTCTTCCTCTTTTTTTCCTCCCCAGTACATAGTTGTATATTTTAGTTGTAAGTCCCCTTAGTTCTTTATGTGAGCTGCTGCCACGGCATGGCTACTAACAGATGAATGGTGTGGTTCCACTCCTGGGAACTGAACCCAGGCCACTGAAGTGGAGCACACTTAACTTGAACCACTAGGCCATCGGGGCTAGCTCACATATTTTTATTTTTTAACTTAGAAAAATACTGACAATGATACTGCCTTAAAAATCTGGGGGCCAGTCCCGTGGCCTAGTGGTTAAGTTCAGTACGCTCCACTTTGGCAGCCTGGGTTCAGTTCCCAGGCATGGACCTACACCACTCATTGGTGGCCATGCTGTGGTGGCGACCCATATACAAAATAGAGGAAGATTGGCATGGATGTTAGCTCAGGGTAAATCTTCCACAGCAAAAAAAAAAAAAAATCTGGTGGGGAGTGTGAAATTCTCTTTAACCTCAATAAAATTGTAATAGACTTGGAGATTCAGCTCAGATGCTCCCTCTTTCAAATCTCTTTTTGAGGCCACATAGTGGAATAGAGCAGTGTTTTCCCAACTTTAGTTCCTGTGATATTTTCTGTTTAATCTGTTTCATTTTTCTAAAAATGGTGGTGAAGACCCAGGACATAGGTTTCATGACTTGCTAGTGTGGTCATGACTATCAAGTCAGAAAAAAACTGGCTCTAGAGTCACTTACCACTAACTAGCTGAGTTATCTCGGGCAAATAATTTATTGAGTAGGCACGATAAGTAACACCTTCTTAGATGGCCACTATGATCTGTGAGTAATTTTTAAAATTAGGGGAGAGGGTATATTTTGTTTTTTTGTTTGTTTTATTAAAGCAATGTTCAAGGTCTACAGAATGATCAACAGAGAAGGCAGGAGGCGAATGGAATTTGCCTTTCTCTGAAGTTGTTGATGAGAATGGAAGGTATTCACTCAGCTTCCTGCTCAGTAATTTACATATTAGTAATCTAAGGATTTGTGATTTTGTTCATCTCACCCACCTGTTTCCACCCTTCAGCCATTCATTTTCCTATACAGTTTATCAAGCTTCTTAATGACATTTTTGATATCTTCTGGCGACAGAAAAACAGCATGTGTTTAGAAAAAAAAAGACTTTATCACTTCAAAAAAATATATGAAAATCAAAACAGCCAGGGCAGGGATGGGGGGCATTAGTTCTAAAACTTTGTGTTGGTTTTGTGATTTGGGGGAAGTGGATGGAGAAATGCTGAGATAGAAGAAGAGCAGCGGAAAGCCAGAGCTGATGAACTAGACACTCTTATCATCTCCGGGATCACCATTTCCCTTTCATGTCCCCCTTACTCTATTCATTTTTAGAGGTAAAAGCTCATCATGGCCGATGTGCTGTTTCTCAGAGTGTTTCTGAGCGTCAGTTGCATCACAGTTGAATCCAATTCTCTGGGATGTTCCTGAGAGTCTACATTTCAACAGCATCCCCAGGTGATTCATGTGCACACTGAAGTTTTAAAAACTGATGGCATAATGTTTAAGGAAAAAATTGAACCAAGAATTCTTTGCAAGTGCAGCGATAACTCCCCTTCCTCCATCTAACTTGGTTAACCGGTATCAACACCACTCTTTGCTCTACCTCTGCCCATTCAACTTCCACTTCTGCTCCTAAAACAAGAGAGATGATCCTTGTTTGTCCTGATCTTAGAAGGAGGATAGGTTCCAGGGTCTTACAACTGGGCCTCAAGTGATGCTAGCAATTTCCTGGTGAGGGAGCAATATCCAGTAAACTTTCTTGATCATCAAAAACAGGATATATTATAGATAATTAAAACAAAAAATATTGACAAACTGCTTTGTTTGCACTAATATTTAAAAATGCATTTTATTATTATACCTAAAGACAATATCCAGATTTGTTTCCATTTTCTATTTTTGATTGTTCAGGGTTATAAACCACTACCCTATGTTTCTCTCACTCTGTCTCCATCCACCAACTCCTGTCTTCTGTTACCTCTACCTTTGCCATCTATTCATACCCCATTGATTGGTGCCAAACAGACTTCGTGGAGCAGAACACTTTGTCCTGGTTATACAACTGTTTAAAATACAGAAATGATTAACATGTGTGGATGGCCAGCGGGTAACTGCTGTCCTCACTTGACACCTATGCTCAGATGCTTCTCTCACTTACACTGTACTTATCTCTTTCCTTCCTGTCCTGAGCTGGGGAAGACCTGGCCAAGTGAAGAGCTCTTGCCTTCAAAGCGCAGCTCCCACGCTGTGGGTACTTTAAAACAAAGGAGAGGCCTCCTATAATGTCCCCTTTCCTCAGGAATTCACAAACCCAGACATAAATAATTATGACTCAGATAGATGCTGTAGGAATTTGGGAACACTCTGTCGTAAACAATTTAATTTGAAGGAGTCTCAATAAATGAACGAAAGCCCACTAAAAATAGAGTTTACAATTAGGAGATACCCTTTCAGAGGATACTGGGAAATATTTTATTGATTTAATATCTGAGAGTTAAATAACCTATGTGAATGTTGTACAAATGAAACAATCCTCTTGTAAGTCATTTCACTTGGTTTAAGGACTTAGTTCAAAAGTCTCCTGTAGAATTGCCTCCAGAAGTATTATTTTATACTCACACTTGGTTTTAAACCAAGAACAGTATGAGTTCTAAAACCCCTACTTTGAAGGGAACAACTGATCTTTGTTTCCTGATATGAGTAAGTGGTTATTCAAAGACCAATTATAGTCACATCCCGGTTACTGGATCAAGAATTTAATCTGCCATTCATGATTGTAGACTCATCATGAAAGAATGAGTAGTTTTTTCTTTTCCCCACCTTTTCCTGAAAGGACAGCCAGGCTTTTCTGTTCCGAGAGAGAGATTCCAAACATAAACTAATAAACAGAAATTTCAGATACTGCAAAGTCCTATAAAAAAAAAAGAAAGAAAACAAGGTGGGACAATATGGTAGAATGCCTGGATGTGAGGCTCCTTTAGTTATGGTGGCCAGGGAAGGCTTCTCTAAGAGGTAATATTTGAGAAATGAATTATGAAGACAACCATGAAAAGATCTATAGGACGAGCATTCCTAGCAGAGGGGTCAACAGGTGCAAAGACCATAAGGAAGGAACAAATTTGGCAAGTTCTGAGGATGGAAAGAAGGTCATTGTGGCTGGATTATAGACTGAAGGGAGACGTGGTGGATCAGATCACATCATGAAGGGCCTTGAGGACTGAGGGAAGAAGGTTGGATTCTAATTGCAATGGAAAGCCACTGGGTGATTTAAGCAGAGGAGTTACCTGATGGATGTTCTGAAAATATCACTCTAGCTGTGGTCTGAAGAATGGAGTATAGAGGGGCCAGCATGGAAGCTGGGAGACTTTTAGGATCTGTTGCTGTACACCACATTCAAAGTATAATTTGGAAGTAGAACTAATGGAACTTGTTGACAGATATGAGTACTAAGGGAAAAAAGGGAATCAAGGATGATATATATGTTTTAATATGCTGTTCCAGAATAGGATATTATAGCAAGAGTTTTAGGCTTTCACAATATTTGTGAGTTCTCTAAATTAAGGAAGTCTAAAAATGAAATATTCAGCTAGAATTAACAACTAGAAGCTGGTTTTAACCAGTCAAGAGACTCATAATTTCTTAAGAAGAAATTACAATCCTTTCTGGAAATGCAAAGTTGGTGGCAGTATGCTAGGAGTGGCCCAAGGCCTTGGTCTTACACCTGGGACTTGCTATTAATCAGACTATGAAATTATTGGTTCAGGTCACTTGCTATCAGAAGCTGAAAAAATTCACAGGGAGCATAGTGCCAGGGATGAGAGAAAAAGGCTCTGAGTTATGGTTAGAGCATTCCTTGACAAATTTTGCAGAGGGAAAGCCTCAGAGGCTAAGAAATACCATCAGCTAAGGCATCAGCATTGAGGGGTGTGAACTCTGTTTGGGGATGAAGTGTTTTATTTCCTTACAGAACATGGCAGAGTGGGGAGTAAGTAGAAAGCATAGGTTTCAATCATGCCTGTGCATGAACAAGCCAAGTAGAAACGTGTGAATTACATTTTACAACCTCAAGTGAAGGTCTCTGACCCAGAAATTCTTGCTGATTTTGGGCTAATCAGAGGTGACAAAGTAAAAGAAACCATGGCAGCATTTTAAGAGTAAGATAAGATAGTGACACTCTGGTTTCAGACACTGAGGTAGACTTGGGAAGGCAGAAGCAACGTAGGCATACTTCTACCCCTTGAAGTTCAACTCTCTCAAGGCAAGGCCTCAGGAGGTGGAGATAAGCAGTTTCCCCAAACCCAGTGAGGGCTGGCCTAAGTTTGGATTGGAAAAGGTAGTCCTAGCTTGCTTCTGGTATAGGAGGATTGGTCTCAAGCAAAATCATTGAGTATCTATCACCCTATATTTCACAGACTCCAATAGTCATGGAAATAACCCTCATTTGCTTGGTTTTGGTAAAGAGGATAATTAATGCCTGCTGTAACAACAAAAAATTTAACCCAGTTAACTCATCCTTTTTCATGTGTTCTTGGAGGGCAAGAGAAAGATGGGGAGTTGGCATAGGGAAGAATAAATTCTATCATTGACATGCTTATTCCTAGGTTTGCTTGGAAGAAATTTCATAGACACTGCCAGGCCAAGCTGTGCAGCACTTCTAGGGATGCTAGCCATAGAAGGAGAAAAAGAATGAAGGCTGAGGTCTAGGTATGGTTTTTTGGTGTCCCTGGGTCACAAACAGATGTTGTGTCCCTCTTGTGAAGACCTGCAAAGGACAGGAAATATATAGTAAGGTACATTATTTTATTCATCAGAGTTCAGGGACTAATCTCAATTAAAAAAAAAAAAAAGGGCATTTAGGGTAGGAGACCAGGCTGAATTTCTCAGGGGTGCAGGAGGCTGAGAGCCACAGGCTGAGAACAGGGTCATGTGAGTTGCATGGGCTGTAGGAGGAGGAAATTAACAGGCGTTTAATCTAGTGGTATGGAGACCTTGTGGTTGAGAAGGAGGAGAAATATAAGATGCTACTGTAAGCAAAAAAAAATTTGGAAAGAGAAATATCTAGAGAAGATGTTAGGAGTCTGTTCAATATGCTGTGCAGAGCATTTGCAGGGACTCCTTTAAAAAGCTTAAGTATTATTCTTCAATGCTTCAGCAGTCAATTGGTGTTTTCTTACAATGCTATTACATGCTTGGCCTGAACCGTGTGAAGCCTCGTTTTATTCAGGCTACACTCTGAAATATAATCACCCCCTGCTCAAAAAAGCTTTCCTTGACTTTGCTGCCCCCTTAAATTACTGTCATCGCTGATTGTTCCATTTCAATGGCAAACCTCAACAAGCTATATCATCACTTTTTTTAACTACCAAGTTAACAAAACAAAATGCAATAATTATAATAAAGATTGAAAATAGCAGTCATAGTAAAACATACAGCATTTTTTACGTCAGACACTGTGTCGGTGATTTACATATATTAGCTCATTTAAATTTTACAACAATCCTATGAGGAAAGTATTATTATTGCCCCTATTTCAGAGATGTGGATACTGAGGCACAGAAGTTAAGTAACTTGTCTAAGCTTAGACAGTTAGGAAGTGGCACAGCCAAGATTTGAACCCAGGCACTCTGGCTCCAGTGTCTACACTGGAGTTTAACAAAAGCTAAACATGGAGTTACCATATGACTCAGTAATTCCACTCCTAAATATATACCCAAGAGAACTGAAAACATATGTACAAAACCTTGTACATGAATGTTCATAGCAGCATTACTCATAATAGCAAAAAAGTCAGAATAATATAAATGTCTATTAATTTTGAATGGATAAACAAAATGTGGTATAACTATGCCTGGGAATATTACTCTGCCATAAAAAAGAGTGAAGTACTGATACATGCTACAACTCAGATGAACCCTGAAAACCTTATGCTAAGTGAAAGAAGCCAGACACAAAAGACCATATATTGTATGACTCCATTTATGTGGAATGTCTAGAATAGGTAAACCTATTGAGACAGAAAGCAGATTGAGGTTGCCAGGGGCTGGGGGAACAGGGAGAATGAGGAGTGATTGCTACTGGGTATGGAGTTTCTTTTTGGGGTGATGAAAATGTTATAGAATTAGTTGGGGTGATAGTTGTACAACTTTTTGAATATACTAAAAGCCACCACACTACATACTTTAAAGCGGTGGATTTTATGGTATGTGAATTACATCTCAATTTAAAAATCTCTAGGTAGGGAGAGAACTGGATGAGTCTACCACTGCCATTATATTACACTGCCACATGGTGTCACTGTTGAGGAATGGACAAAGTCTAAACAAGGTTTATACAAAGCTTAGTGATGCTCTGGTTCAGATTGTGCCCAAGCTACAGGCGTGCTCCATGATTGAGGTATAAGATTAAAATCCAGACCGTGTTCCTCAGAGCACAGGCAACACCATTCCAGAACAGCTTCATATTGAAGAGCTTCTAGCCTCAGCCCTATATCGTGCAACTACTTGCCCTCCTTCACAGACAGAGGTTCTTGGCTAAACCCGGTTCCCAGATTAATGGAGAAATTCACCCACCTTGTGAAAGTGTTTTTGTTAAAAGGAAACACTATTAAGCGCATCTGGAACTTTCAAAAACTTTGTTTTTTCAAAAACTACTTTATAGTGTACGGGGAAATACTGAGTAATTTTACTGTCCTGGGATAGGGGACTTTCAATGAGTTGAGGATTTTACACCAATTCTCTCTAAAATATTTATATTATTTAACCCAGGATTTCCAATCAACATATTAAAAAACTATGTATATGAAGTTGCTCATCATGATGTTATTGACAGTAGCAAAAAAATTGTATACACACTTGTGGAAAATCATATACCTGTTATGAATGGTGTATAAGAATGCTATATAAGAACACGAAAATCCTTATGCTATAATGCAAAATGCTAAAAAGCACCTATTTATATGTATGTGTAAAAACATATACACATACATTCACAAATTCATACAATTAGAAATAATGCACACACCAGTTAAAGTTATATGTTGATATTGAAATAAATTTCCTTTAATCCTCTTACCTCACATTCTATGAAATGTGTTCCATATCTATACCAAGATTTCTCTTAATTCCCAGGGTATATATTCTCATGGTCACTTTTTTCACTTATATTTTAAAATTGTGAACAATGTCATACATACAAGAGTATTTATAATGTATGTGTACGGTTTAAAGTGTAGCTGTTAGGTTTCCATCAGGAATAGGAATTCTACTCAGTTGGTTCCACTAAAGAGATATCAACGAAGACACTATTTAAAGGGGTGTGGATAGGGTTAAGAGGACCATCAAGTTGAGAGTCTAGCAACAGTGGAAAGCCCATACCATCTCTAAGCTAAGAAGTAAGGTAAGAAAGCGTTTCCAGAGCTCTGTGAGCTGGAGCCATGGAGAAGAGGCCACTGGTTGAGAGCCGGAGTTGTGGAAGGACACAGCCACCATCAGATCCTCAGCCTCAAACAGAGAAAGAATGGAGAAAACATACCCTACCTTTCTTTCCTCCTGCCTCTAGTCTCCTGGAGATGACTCCCACTGTCCAAACCCAAATGGAAACCAGCTGAGGAGAGCCCAGGTGAAGTTTTCTAAAGAGTCAGTTTCTAGGGGCATAGAACAGGGCAGGGAAGGGGGGAGAATGGATATGAGGGAAGGTAAACAGAAAATCCAGATAGTCTACCTGTTTTGCCACTCAGCATTTATTCCTGCCCTTTGCTCAGATGAAGAGAAGCTCATCCACTACACATGAGAATCACAGAACCCCACCAACCACCATATTGCTTTGAGGTGATGTCAATTTAGGTATACTCTGACCTAGAGACTAAATTGTAATATTTGTCTCCACCAGTATTCTTCATACCAGGTAACAAGGAAAGAGGGGCAGGGAAAAAATGATTAACATTTTATATGCAGAGCTACAACAGTCCCTGCCTCTATAGTGTGTTACAAGGCTAAAATTGATAATCATAGCTTTCTACTTCATTCACTTATATTTCCCTTGCCCTATGCAGTAGCTCGGTAAATCAGAAATTTTTTATCTGGTGTGGTGATGCAACACTTTAATTTCTGCATAGTCTGAAATTGAAGTGGTCTGACTTTATCAGGTTACTGCAGTTATCTAGTGATCATTGTTATTGCACATGGAAGTAGTGCGACGTGCCCGGTGAATCTCTGGGCATCACGCACAGTTCTCCTTGCTTTCACTGTAGAGCTGCAACCCAATTTTCCCTTGGTAATTGGGATCAGTTATCCCAGTTCCATCACTATGAGGAACCAAAATGATCAGGGGGTAGTTTCAGCTTCCAATTCAATAGAACCATGGCTGGGTCCTCTAGTGGAGGCATTTCTTCCTTTTGAACTAGGACTTCCAAACATGACAAACCCAAGGTTGTAGAAATGGTGTGCTGGATATTTTCCATTTGTCCCTCCAGTCTTTGTGTGTAAGAGGCTGACCTCTATAGACTGCATCAACCTGGCTCCCTCGTCTTCTGGCTTCCTAGTAGATCTAGCCAATGGAAGACCTCAGCAGGATATCAGAGCACGGGGGACAGCGAGATGGGTCTGTCTTCTCCACTCTGTCCCCACATTGAGCTGAGGTCCTAGCAGTGGCTACAATCACAGGATCTCACCCTGCTGGGATAAAGGTCAGCATTGACTGCTTTCTTCTACTGAACAACATAGCTCCTGTTGGGTTACCCTCTCCTACAGCCACAGTATGGCTCTTGCCTGGTGTTAGTAACTGCTCCTTCCCCCTTGTCCCTTCTGAGCTAGAGTTAGTAACAGCTCCCTACTGTTGCTGGTTACTACTGTTTATTGAATACTAACTATGTGCCAGACACTGTGCTAAGTATCTAAATATATTTTCTCATTAAGTCTGCACAATCCCATAAGTTAGATGGCTTTAGTCCTGTGGTAGAGATGATAAAAGTAAGTTTTGGAGAGGATAAAGAGTGACAGTGACAAAGCTGGACATTGAATCTACTCGTGCTAATGCTAGAGCCTTTGCATTCAAATGCTATTCCCCACTTCTTTTATCAGTTGTTACCCTCCCTTAAAGAGTCAAAGCTCCACATGGCTTTGCTCCTGTGGTACATAGGCTATCTTGGCAACCTATCCACTCCCACAACTGGAAACAGGGATGCTGGTGAGATTTCCCTACACAGCCATTCAACAAATAGTGTCTGGAATGTGGGACCCAAGCTCCAGAATACTGAGGGCCGGTGCTGAGAGCATCGAGGCAAGCCTAGGAGGTCTGTGTGGTGTTCACTCACCTTTCCCACTGATGTGGTGATCAGCCAGGGTTAAGAGCAGGGACCCTCCTGATGGACCTTCCTCAAGGTCAGAGCCTGGTGAAGTCCATGCTATTCTCCCAAGCCATTTAGTAGCAAAGAACAGAGTGCCAACAGCTCCTCAAATACTCTCTCAATGAGGCTGGGAGAGAGGCTTGACTTACTCTAGATAGAAATCGCTGGTGGGGGTGAGAAGAAATGGACAGCTGTCAGAGCAGCAGAGGAGAGAGACAGCTCTGTCCAAAAATAAAGAATTAGTAACTATGGTCGAATCTGCTCTTTTTTGTTTCTTGTCTGAACCTGTTTGGCACTTTAATGGTGGCAATTTAACAGATGAGGAGACTGAGGCTCTAACATTAAATAAACTGTGTCTATTGTGAGAGTCAACCAAAGAAAAGAAAAATGTCCACTCTCAACATTAAACCTATTCCGCAAGTAGAAAAGACCTTAAAAAAAGTTTATAAATGTGGATTATATGTTTAAGTGACAACTACTCATGAGACACATTCTCATCTCGGAAACAGACTCAACAGTGGTGGTTGACACTATTTCTGGAGAATAACAGAGAGATGGCTCATTAAACTCTGTCGAATCTTAGCTCAGCTCAGCGAAGGAGCATGGATTCCTCATATACGTGGGTAACTGACAAAACTCACTGAGGCCTTTAAATGAGATTTCCATTCTGCTTCCTCTGCCTGCCCTCAAAAATCTGACGGCTGAGTTCCTGCTGCTTTGAATTTGCCTCTTTGACCTGTCCGTCCCAGGCGCCTGGCCAGGAACCCAGGCCTCGGGTCAGGCGTGCGGGCCCTTTAAGAAAGCCGAGGGCTCCGCTGATTGGCTGAGGCTGGGAATCTACTGTCACGCCAGCCAATGGCGAGGCTCTGCGGGGCGAGGCCGGGTCACCGCCGCGGTCTAGGAGATCCCCGGCCCGAAGGCTCTGCCACGATCACCGTGGTCCCCGCGCCTCCGCCGCCCGCTGCCCAGTGAGTGAGCGCCGGCCGTGCGGGACCGGCCGGCCGCAGGCGGGTGGGGAGGGCGGGGCCGTGCGGCCGCGTCCGCAGGCGCCGAGCTCCGGGGCCCCGGGCTTGCCCAGCCGCCCTGGGCGCCTGCTCCTCGTGAGCGCCGCCCTTGGCTCTCCTCCGGCCCCCAGTGCTGACCAGTGTCGCCAACCTAGACTCAGAAGAGTCTGTTCTCGTCGCAAGGACTCTTGGCCTCTCCCGTAACGTTGTAATCCAGTTGTGAAGGAAGGCAGAGATTATCAACGGAAATCACATCACTACAGGAAGTTCCCAAGTTACAATAATTGGGTCCAGGGAGCGCGGGTGGAGTTGAATTGGGGAAAACCTCCCCGAAGCTGTGGGTTCGGTCCTGGAATTTGCAGGGGAAGTGGGCTAGTTTGAACGGAACGCGCGGGCTAGACTTTGCAGGGGAAGTGGCCTAGTTTGAATGGAACGCAAACACGTTGAAAATGGTTGTAATTATGGAACCAGTCATAAATGTAGGTAATGTGTCATTAGATCAGGAAATGAGTCATTGCAGAAATTTGCATGACAGAGGTCATGATGGGTCATGGAATTATCCTTTTTTTTTTTTTTTTTTAATAAGTAGAATCAAATCCAGGTCCCCAAGGGTGACTGGAAGAAGGCTGCCTGGAACCTGCAGCCCCAACTCTCCTCCTCAGCAATACCCCTTCCATTGTAATCTATAGCACTGCTGAGGCGGGGCTGGAGCATGAAAGGGCCCTTTCTAAGGTCTCAGGAGTAATCAAAGGAAAAATGAAGGCAAAAGGGACCCAAATCAGCATTCTCAGCCCTGAGACACACTGGTGTCTAAGTTGTAAGTAGCAAGACATTTGTCACCAATGATAAAGTGTTGAAATTTTGGAGAGACATATAATTATGTGAATTCAAAGTTATTGCTATTGCAAGGTCACTCTTGCTTCTTTTCTCTCTTTTCCAATAGTTTTATTGAGAAATAACTGACATTTTGTATAAGTTTAAGGCATACAGCATGATGGTTTGATTTACATATCTTGTGAAATGATTACCACAATAGGTTCAGCTAACATCTATCATCTCATATAGATATAATAAAAAGAAAAAAAATTCTCTTTGTGATAAGAAGTCTTAGAATTTACTCTCTGAACAACTTTCCTATGTATCATTCAGCAGTGTTAACTATGGTCATCATTTCTGATATATATTTTGTGAGCAGGAGAGAGAAAGCTGAGAGTATTCTGGACACCCTAAGGAAACTCCTAGACTGGAAAATGGCTGTGATAGGGTGGGGAAGGAGGGGAAGGTTGAAAATACTGAACTCCAGGGCATAGTTTATAAGGTGTGGTGCAATCATTTCCAGGTGTGGTCTCCGCTGAGAAGCACGGGGAAGCTTTTCTCCCTGCTTGGCTTCTACTTTTAACTCTTAGGAGCGTCGCTTAACACATTCAGACTACAATCCAGACCCAAGAAAGCAAGGCCCAGAAAGAGGTAAGCCTGGGTCCTAACTTTCCAAATAGTTTCTCTTCCTTAGGTGGCTGACGTGAGGACTGTCCCTGCTCTTCAGGGGGGATCCTACCCTCTATAAATAGGGGCACTGTCAGAGACACAGCCCTGTGACAGACAGGTTGTGTTTGTGTGTGTGTGTGTGTAGGAATGGGATTAGAGGACAGTTGTTTTCTTTATAAATGTTTACAGCACATGTAAAAGTTCAGTCATTCACTTCCATGTGTAGAAGAAAAATAAGGAATGGCAAGTGGCCTGAGCCAGAGTTTCTCTTGTATCACTCATGCTTTCTGCAAACATTTATGGGAAAGAGACACCAAGGAGACTGCCAAGATGGGTAATATATTGCTCCTGTTCTGGTCTGCTGTAGGAGACAATTGACATGGGGCTGTCAGAGTTTAGAGAAGGGAAAGAACTTCTGCTAGATCTTCCCACCCTCAAAGGATAGCCTCTAACTCTGGTCTTAGGATGGAGTGGCAGAGGGGCAGGGACACCTCATGACCTCCCAGGACTGTGCCCCTTCTCTCTGGTGAGTGGTTTGCCTATGCCCAGCATTGAAGCTGACTCTGGCTTTGAGGCCCCTGTAATTACGGGGTATGTCTTTAGCCAGAATACAAGGAAGCCACCGAAGTCTGGCTTGTAGTTCCCACTCACCTGGAGCCACATAGCTGGAATAACCCATTCCACCTGGCATGAAATGCCCTCCTTCTCCCCCATCTTCTCCCCACTTAGCCAGAACGCAGGATTTCCTGATAAGAGTGTGGAAAATAGGAGCTCTGCTGGGCTTCCCGCAGAATACTGTGAATCCTGGATAGAAAGTATTATGACTGGCCACTCTGACCTGAGGTTCACAACCCTGCTCCACAGCCTACCAAAGAGAATCAGCAACATTGTCGAGGAGGGTAGAGCAGTTGTAACTTCCCTGAGTTTTGCAGTCTTCTGAAAGTAAAATCAGCAACTAACTGAAGGTCTTCTGTACCCACCCGATTGGATTAAGAACAAAAAATTGGAGTTCTGGGCCACCTAGAATTGACAGCCCGCTTAAGAACTTCTTAAGTAAATAAATAAGATAGACAGTACTATGTATTCACTTAAAAATTGTGTTTCCCAGGACATTTAAGTATCCTATGTTTTTTCCCCTTTTCCAAACTTCAGTGGTAGCTTGAAGAGAACAAAGGTGAAGCTAGAGGGGGATGGCCAAGGCATGTCAGCAGTAGGTGGATGGAAATAGGGGGTGTGTAGGAGAGGGGCAGGGATTATAGGAAGAGTATTGATATAGTGACCTTGAGATACCTAAAACGTCCTAAAACCCAAATGCAAGGAGCACAGAGAATTCTGTCCTCAAGGTGCACGATGTACCTTCTGAATCACCACTCCTCAGAAGCAAAGGTTCTATCATCAAACTGTACAGAAGTCAAAGGATGGCTGGTATCCACCCTGTCCCTCACAAAAAAGAGAGAGTTTTTTTGTTTGCTTGTTTTAAACTATTCAGTTTTTCAAGATTTACTGTAGGAAGCAAAATCAGGAAACATGGAGCCATATACTTTAGAGCAGGAGAAGATTTTAGAAATCATCTAGTTCAATCAGCTAGTCTTTGAGTAAATGATGGCCAGGCTGGTTAAGTTTGCCTAAGATCAGACAGCTAGTTAGGAGCAAGGACCAGAATCCACACTGTGTTCCCAGGTGAGAAATTTTTTTCTTTTTTTATGTTGTTATAAGCTCATGGTAGCTCAAAGCAGAGCATTTGAGGATGCAGGTAGAATATATTGTTTTAAGCCTTTTGGCTTTTTTACATTTTAGGTCAAGATGGGGTTTATATTTTCAAAAGCTATGAATGAAAACATGAAAAACCAACAGGAGTTCATGGTTACGCATGCTGACCTTCAGGTACATTTTCAAATAATTAAGCTTTTATGTTATTACAGTGGTTAAAGTTTCTACCACATGTGTTCTAGCAGTATGTTCTCTTTGGCCCAAAAGGTAAAATGCTCTTGGGGCTCTATCCTTAAGGCCAAGATGAAATGGATTATTAATTATCTGGTGAATGGACTTGTTGAAATCTCCAATCCAGATACTTGTGTAAAAATTTCCATACCATAGAAAGAGCTAACTGCTTAGAGTATAGGGTCGCCAGAATGATGGCCCTCCCAAAGACATGTGCATCCTGATCCCCTGAGAATATGTTACCTTGGCAAAAGAGACTTTGCAATATGATTAAGTTAAGGAGTTTGAGATGGGGAAGATCCTGGATTATCTGGATGGGCCCAGTGTAATCACAAGGGTCCTTATAAGGGAAAGAGGGAGGCAAGAGGGTCAGAGACAGAGAGAGAGATTTGAAGATGCTATGCTGCTGGCTTTGACGATGGAGTAAAGGGCCATGAGCCAAGGAATTCAGGCAGCCTCTAAAACCTGGAAAGACAAGGATATGGATTCTCCCCTAGAGCCTCCAGAGGGAACACAGTCCCACCAGCCCTTTTGGGACTTCTGACCTCCAGAACTGTAAGAAAATAAATTTGTTGTATTGTTTAAGCCACTAAGTTCGATAATTTGTTATAGCAGCAATAGGAAATTAATACAGAGTGTGAAAACTTGACACTAGATTTATACATAGGCTGGATAGAAAAGATCAAAGCAAAGTAGATGACTATCTAATTGCCTAATGTAAGTTGTCAAAAAGTATTTTAAAATGTTGTATGTCAAAATGAAGTGTTAAAAGTTTGACCAGAATTATTTTCCTAAGATTTCAAACAAAGGTCTGTAGGCTTCTGTGGTTCATTCTGGCCCCGAGAGAAGAAGGTCCTACTGTGAGACCATAGTGAATGGTTAAAAGTGAGAGGACTAAAGCCAGACTGCCTGGGTTTGAATCCCACCTCTGCCCCTGACTAACTGTGTGACTTGTGCCTTAGTCTCCTAATCTGTAAACTGGAGGTGATAGTATCCCCTTCAGAGTGTTGTTTTCAGGAGTAAAGATGACAGTTTATAGAGAATGTATAGAACAGTGGCTCAAGTCTTTAGGACAGTGTCTCTCACTCTATAAATATTAGTTGTTGCTGTTATTTTGCCAATAAAGACTGATAAGAATGTCTTGTGCAGTATACAAACTTCATTCAGGGGAATGGAATAATTTAAAGAATGGGCAACTGAATTATTGTAACAGAGCAAAGTGACCTAGGGGAGACCAAACATTAGGTGTCTGAACCAGCCAAATATGTCACATACTCAGAATACTTGTCTAAGACCTCTGGAAACTACAAGGCTTTTACTCTTATGTCAGTCCCCGTGAAGTCAGGGTCTGTGAAGAGTCTTGGATTTTACCCTGTTGCAAGCTGACAGATTAGCCTGTTACTATCTCATGGACACTGGCAGAACACAGGAGCCACCAATGTCAGAGACAGAAGACTTTATTACTCATAGCGCAGCAAGCAGCATAAGCATGAGGTTGGTGTCAATTCCCCATGCCCCTCAAGCCTCACGGAGGTGATAAAGATGGGCTTAAATGGGTGCAGTGCCTTCAGTGGCTTTGTGGCACATTCGAGGAACACTGGGCTTGGGGAATCTGCTGCTTTTATAGCGAGTGCTGAGCTGGTGGAGTTGGCAGGGGGTGGGGAGGGTGGGGAGTGGTTGGATGGGAGGGGTGTTGACTTCATTCTTGAAGGTTGTTCACTGCAAACATAACCCATAGAAATGGCCTGAGCAAAGAGCAGTCTGCCCCTTGCATTCTTGGCCTACTCAGCAAGAATGTGCAGGGACATTCAGGGCTCATGGCAGATTGCCCCTCCCAACAACCTGCCCCTCAGCCTGACAGACCAGAGCTCTGAGAACAGCCTTGATTTCTGTCCACTGATCCCATCGACCACTATAGCTGGTGGTGAAGTCAAACTGGCAGGAGCACTATTGGCACCATCAATTTTCAGCTTAGTTGAAGCAAAGGTGAACCAGGCCCAGGCATTTAGGAGAATCTGTGAATCCAAGGCCCCTATTGAGCCAGTAGCTTTGCTTCATGTGGCAGAGTGAGGAATACAGTTTTTCCCAAAGAGGTAGCTCCTACTCCTCTGTGCAAAGCTGAGATGACAATAGGACCAGGCCAGCCATATTCTCAAATACATTCTCATTTGACCGGCAAATGGGCCCTTTTCTTGGGGTTGTCGTATGCTTGTTGATCCAAAATGGCGATATCAGGTCTGAGAGTCACAAGGCCCCCATGGGTCAGGTGTTCATCTTTAACAGAAGCTCAGGAGTATGCCAATAGCTGCCTCCCCTTTTTGAAAGGGGTATGTTATGGGTTGAATAGTATCCCCCCCTAATTAATATGTTAAAGTCCTAACCCCCATTACCTCAGAATGTGACCTTATTGGAGACAGAGTCTTTACAGAGGTAAGCAAGTTAAAATGAGGTCACTAGGGTGGGCCCTAATCCAATATGATTGATGTCCTTATAGAAAGGGGAAATCTGGTCACAGAGACATGAATACATGGAGAATGCCATGTGAGTATGAGGTTGGCCATTTATAAGCCAAGGAGAGAAGCCTGGAACAGATCCTCCCCTCACAGCTCTCTTAAGGAACCAACCCTGCTGATACCTTAATTTTGGACTTCCAGCCTCTAGAACTGAGACAATGAGTTTCTGTTGCTTAAGCCACCCACTTTGTGCTACTTCATGATGGCAGCCCCAAGAAACTAACACAGGATGCATTTGGTGCCTGTGTTCGGCAGGTGGCGCTGCTGTCCTGGGCAATGGCCTCTCTGGAGATGAGCTGTGATTTTTTCTTTTTCCTGCTGGGATTCTGTATTGTTTCTGTTAGACCATCTGGAATCAGGGTCAGGGAATCCCTGAAGGGCAGAGTGTCCTTTCATCACTATGAATATTTACAATATAAGCGAGTAACACATTGATTTCATTATACATTTATACGTGAGAGACACAACTAGGGTATCTTGAATCAGTTCAAAGGTCATTTTAATTCCCCTTCCTCACTGCAAACTTTGCTCAAATCCTATCAGTTGAATTCCAGTGCTTTTTTTTCCTATGGGAACACAGACCAAAGAGTTTAACATAGGTACTTCAGGGGTTATCTTAGTTTCAGAAGATTACGCTGTCTCTCAACTGGGGGAGACTGGGGAGTGCAAAGGGGCAAGGACCACTTTTTGCCCTTTGGCTCCTCATCCCAGAATTGGTGCTGCTTCCTCCCCTGTACACCCATGGCCTCCAGAGAGCACTGGGGTTCAGGGGCATCATTCTTTCATTCATTCATTCACTGGAGCCATTGCTCTGCCCTGCACGTCCGAGAGCCCCTAGGACTGAGCAGGACTCTGTAAATGGAAGGAGTGGGCCACTGGGGTGGAAGACAACGTGTCTTTGTAAGTTTTTCAAAGGGGAGATTTTTTTTTAATTTTTTGTTTATTGCAGTAACATTGGTTTATAACATTGTAAAAATTTCAGGTGTACATCATTATACTTCTATTTCTGCATAGATTACATCATGTTCACCACCAAAATACTAATTACAACCCATCACCACACACATGTACCGAATTATCCCTTTCACCCTCCTCCCTCCCCCCTTCCCTCAAAGGGGAGATTTTTTTAAAATCCTGATTGAAACACTGTGCCTACTAATATCTTTAGCCTGTGATGGCGTATCTTTTGGCTTTTTTCCTATTCAATGGCACCTCAATAAAAGGATAAATAGAAGAAATAAAGCAAAACTTTTATTAAAGAAAAGCCTAATAACTAGAATCCTTTTCCCAGTGGGTTTTTTTTAGTTCTACTTTTATTTTTGGTAAAAAAAGATAAATCATAACTCAATAATTCCATATTATTGTTTGTTTCAGAGGAAAGGACCAGAATTAGAGATTCAGCTACATCTTATACCAGTGGCAGGGTTCTCGACTCTGGCTGTATATTCGATTCACCCAGGAGCTTTTGGATCTGGATCCCACCCCAGATCAATCAGTTCTCTTCATGGCCGGGCATGTTGTTGTTTTAAGCTCTCCAGGGGACTGTAATGCACAGCCTGGGTTGAGAACTTTGCCCTGTCCTTTTCAATTATGTTATATAATTGTAAGGGGTGATTGCCAGAGATTTAATATAAGGTATATTGGAGATGGAACCAAATAAATTCTAAGTTTATGTAAGTTAATCATGAAATTAAATCAATCACTGGAATCAGGTTAATAAAAATTTATAAAAGGGGGCCGACCCAGTGGCATAGTGGTTAAGTTCGGCACACTCCAGTTTGGCAGCCCGGGTTTGTGGGCCTATAACATTCATCAGCCATGCTGTACTGGCAACCCACATAAAAAAATTAGAGGAAGATTGGCACAGATGTTAGCTCAAGGCCAATCTTCCTCACCAAAAAAAAAAAAAAATTTACAAAAGACTTCAAATCAAAAAGTTTTCTTTTTTGATTAACAGTTTTGGTTTAAGCTGAGCTGGAGGGGATTCACACTACTAGTTATAATGATGTTTTCAGATCAGCAAACTTCAGTTTCCCACTGCTTTGTCTAGCCTCTGTTACTGAGGATGGTAGATGGATGTCTCAACTCAGTCAACTAAGCATCACTGAGGTGAAAATGAATACTTCCTTAAAATGCCACTAGATGGCACACCTAAACTAATTGTATATCACCTGAGTGGCCAGAAAAGCATTTTGATGTTATAAAATAGGATGGAAACTGGAAGCATAAAGCAGAAAGAATGAGGGAAGAAAGGATTCCATAGGTCCTTGCTGTGCTATCGTGCTATGTAGGCAAGGCGGTTATGGTCCATGTAAGAATTAGTCAAGCAGTTTATTCACTGTTTACTGTGTGCAAGCAACAAACTAAAGATTAAACAACAACAACAACAACAACATGAGGGCTAGCCTTTGACCTGTATGTCTATTGTTA